GTCCTTTTTTTTTAAATCGGAGGTGTCCGAATTTTTACCACACCACTAATTCTTTAGGATGAGTGTAGCCGTCGAATAGCCCACTCACCGAGTTTTCTAATGGCCAAAAGTATGGCACCACTTCGACTGACCAAATAGAGATGAAAATGTTTGCAGGAAGAATGAATTCAAGTTAAAAGGATTTATTTCTTTTTCAATGTTCTTTTACTACTAAACCATCCCGCTTGGTTAAACAGTCCATTATTGACCTTTTTAGATCCTACCGAATCATTATCACATCCTTATAATGTACTTTGTATTATTAACAGATAACATTTGACCTAGGGAAACAAAAAAAAAAATTATTATCTCTATTATCTATTGGATATAGATACTCCGAAATCATCTGCCTTTGAGGATTCTAGAAAACTTATATTCAATGTTTTCTCTTTTGAAAGCTTTACGTCATTGGGGACGCCATCTTATTATACATATTGATTATTACCCCACGTGGTACCGATTATTTGATTGTTTAATCATTTCATTGAAGCAAAACAAAAATTTGTTTACTTTTCTATGCTTCTCGAATCATTTTTTTTTTTTACAAACGTATCGAATCATTTATCCAAAGCGTTGACTTCGAAAAATTATAAATAAAATGTAGAAGCTCTTGTACATGCATGTATGTCGACTGAAGCCGTCGACGTATGTCCTACCTTTTAAAGGTTTTCATTTACTCTTTCTGCAATTTAWTGATGATTGTTTAAATCATCTAACTGTACTTAATTTCCCAAGAACTATTTTTTTTAACTTTCAATAGTCATTTTTCACATGCAACAATTTGTAACCATAATGATTTTTAACATCTACAAGAAAACTTGGTTAACATTGTCCAGATAACAAAGTGGTAGTGGTCTCACTTGGGGAAGAATTTTCGTGCATGTATAATAATTTTAGAGTTTTCATGTATAATAGTTTTAAAATGTAAACAATTTATATTGTACGACTATAAGTTTTTAATGGGACCTCTTCAATCATGATTGATAATAAGAAAACTTTAGAAAATTCTTCCGGCTTCTATCAATCATACCCCTAAGTTCATATTCTTTTATTGCCACCAAATGGATGTCAATTTGCAACTTAACAAATATAATTTTGGTGACAACAAAATATAGTTTTATATCTGTAAAACAACTCCCATGACCATCTCATACACATTAATCCCGTTTGCCCGTAGTTCGACACGTGTCGTCTTCAGGGCAAATGATTTAACGAGTTGGTGGTTTAACATTAAGACTTTGTCTTTAATTTGTCGACATTTTAGTCATCTAAAATAGTTAAAACTATTACAAGATTGCCTCAAGCTCAAAATAATGCATAGTTTCACATGTCGATATAAATTATAATATTCTTGTCCTTCTGTCCAAAAAATAAAAAAAATATTGTCACACGTTTCATTAGTAAAGCCAACACGTTGCTTTCATCGTCTCGAGCCGATTTCTCAATACTCCACCACCACCATTTTACTCTTCTTTTAAATCCCTTTCAACAATCAAAAGTTTTATTATTTTCTCACAAAAACCCACTTCTCTCTTTCTCTCTACTGAAACCTCTCGCATGATCAATATCAATAGATCAAAGCAAAGAAGATGAACAAGAACAAGAAAGAAGTGAGTAAGATCGAGACAAAGAAGGCATCGATGGATGAGTGGCCTGAGCCAATCGTCCGAGTCCAATCCTTAGCCGAGAGTAACCTCTCATCCCTCCCCGACCGCTACATCAAACCGGAGTCTCAACGTCCCATAACCACCGAAGAGGCTCCGGCCGCGACCAACATACCAATCATAGACCTTGAAGGACTCTTCTTGGAACAAGGTTTGTCTGATGACGTCATCATGTCTCGGATATCGGAGGCTTGTCGTGAGTGGGGATTCTTCCAAGTGGTGAACCATGGTGTGAGACCAGAGCTCATGGACGCGGCTAGAGAGAGTTGGAGAGAGTTTTTTCATTTGCCGGTCAATGCGAAAGAGACTTATTCTAACTCACCAAGAACCTATGAAGGCTATGGAAGTAGATTAGGAGTTGAGAAAGGAGCCATTCTTGATTGGAGTGATTATTATTATCTCCATCTTCTTCCTCCTCATTTGAAAGATTTCAACAAGTGGCCTTCTTTTCCTCCCACCATTAGGT